AATAAATCAATTTTTATAAAAAAAATCGGTTTTTCTTGTTTTTCAATATGGCGTACCTTTCTGATCGATTTAAGAATTTGAGGGGTTATTCTTTATTAAAAAGGGCATAAAAAAAAGTTTATTTCAAAATTGTTCTAGAACATTATCATAAAGAAAAAAAATAATTTCGGTAAAAAATGCCTGTTTTTAATGGTTATTATAAAGATTATGAGCTGTTATTTTTTCCGAGTATAGCCCTTATATACCTTCATAACGTGTATAAATTTCAATTAAATCGATTGAGCCGTTTTTGAGAAGAAAATTATTTTCTGATTTTTCGTTTTTTTGAATTTATTCAAAAACCAAAATAGATAGAGGTCTAAAATTTTCAAAATTAACGTACCTCATTTGTATCAATGTCCCCTGAAAAAATTATCCAAATATTCCTCTGGGGCCGATTCACTATGCTTATCGTCCTATGGCCTTTATGTCGAAAATTATTTCCGAAGAAAACATTGTTAACAATTTATTTTAATATTATGTTTTATACTTATAATTACAGTAGTTTTTCTTTGTTTTTAATAATAATAATTTACACACTGAGGTGAACATAAAACATCAAGGAACAGTACTCTTTTTAAATTTTAATTACACACAATACAGCTTCTTAGGCCATTGTATTTCGAAATTCATCATTCAAAAATGGTAATTGTAGATTATTTAATAACTTATTTTTTTACATATGTATTTCTGTTTTATGTAGCAACTAGCCCATCACAAAATTAGTTACGTTGAAAATACACCTTCTAAGTAGATTACCTATGCATTGTTTAATTATTTCATTATTCATCTTAAATAGAAAGTGCATTTGCTGTTTGATTAATTTTATGGTTGAATCAGAAATTGGGTCCAGCTGGTTTCTCAGAAATCTTTACAAAAGCTACAAAAGCACTTGTATCTACGACAGTAAGAAATCAACTCTCCATCAAATTCCTAATATCAGGAGTTTTTCATCACATTAGCAACTTTTCTTTTCTATTGAATTCACTATGAAATAATTGTTTGAAATTAACTTGCAATTAACTATATTTTTGATATATGCTAAATTTTAAAAACAAATGGATCCAGATCCTGCCACTTTGCTAACTCCATATAAATGAAGATAGTTGGAAGGAAAAGATGTACTTACCTCTACAACAGGAAGATCTTTTAATTGTATTTTTGTAAATTTTAGGTAGATGATAACGCCTTGAAAAGCAAAATATTTTTTTAAAAAGTAAGTTACTCTTATTCAATAGTTTTAAATTATTTATTTGCATATAAGGAAAGTTTCTATTTAAAGACGTAATTAGGTAATTGCATCCTGTGCAAGTCTTAAAGTTAATTTCGAAGCATAGCATAGCACAGAGTTAAAATACTTAATCAAATGAATTTGAAGTATCAAATATTGTATTAATTCATCTTATTAAATAATAATTGATACAAAAACAGTTAATTTACCGTTTGAAGCGTCTTGGATAAATAATTTTACAAGCTATTAGCAATTTTCTTTATTCTTCAACCATCAGTAAAACTATAATGTTAACCGGTTTCAAATAAATAAAATTAAAATATAACTAAACAATTTATTGTATACACAGTGAATACACGATATTACATTTATATTCAGCATTACCTAAGTTCTTATGAAACATAGCATTGATACATATTTTTATATAATTCTAAACATTTAATAGTTATATGTTTATGAGATTATTCACTAGAGAATTTTTCTTATTTTGAAATGACAATTTTATTTCACTAAACACTTTTCTGTTTTTATAACAAACACATTCTTATTCAAACTTTGTTGAAGGCAAAATAAAAATTAGCCATATGTGAATTCGGAAATTGTTAATTACCTATTTATCTTATTCTTGAAACAAAAATCGTCAATTCATTGCAAGAATAAGAAATAAGCATTAAAACTGAAATTTCTGTTTTCAAGTCAATTTTAATCAAAGGTTGAACTGATTTATCTTTTGTTTTACCATAAAAGTTAAGGGGAATGTACTAATACTAGAAACATAGTCTAATAACTAATAAAGGACATTCAAAACAGAATAATAATTAAATCCGTATGATTCTGTTTTGATCACATAAATCAGAGAGGCTAGTAAAGACTAGCAATATCAAATACCTACATAAATATTTTGTGAATTTATTATGCACACCATACTAAATGGCTTTTTAAGAAATTACGAGAATTAGAAATACATCTGTTATTCATACAATTCCTACTGTTTAAATATTGTAAGCAAATGTACACGTATTTGTAATGAAATTGGAAAACTCAAACATTATTTCAAAAAAACCCATTCGTATCATAATTATACGGAGCATATTAAAGACAATTACCATATTAACATCTGGTTTCATAAAGACCACTCCTTCCAATATATCTGACCCATTTAATTACATCATGGTCGGAATAATTAAGTTTGGACTCGAACACTTTGAGATATCGTACCTTGAACCCTGAAGGAGCAAAGGGCACTTCGAAGTTCATAGAAATTGGTGGTCTGGTCCATTTCTTCTTCGTATCCGTCTCCAGTAGCTCTATTTCAGCAGAAAGCTGAGTTTCCTTCATTCCCGCCATTCTTTTTATCCTAAAAGAAATACAAGAATAAGAACTAGGTTTTCAAAAAAAAAAAAAAAATTGACATACTTCCAAACTATAGCATTCTCTGATGCTTTATACTTGGCTTTTCCTTTGAGACAAATCAGTTGCACACCAGAAGTATTGAGTGGAGTTGGAATTTTGACTTCAATTTTTTGACCAAGCAGTGAAGGTTTAAAGTTACTTTTCAGGACAACTTTAACTTCCATTTTTGTTCTTCCAACTTCACGTACTAGTGGTATAACTCTGAAGGGTAGAGATATGTCTTTAGTTGTTCTGTATCTCATCAACTCAAATTCTCCATCAGGTGGAATAAAACTTATGGAGTGTTCTGTCTCGAATTTACTAAGTTTAACACACTGATGAAATTGGCAGTCATCAATTACAACAACAGGCTTTCCTGATCTTGCTGGATCTGAATCTGAAGAACTCCCTAAACCTCCTTTTCCCTTCGCTTCCATTACAATTTTATCATTAATTCCAAACTTGCATTCTGGCATTCCAGATAAATAAGATTTCATTACAACTTTTCCAGCAACATGTGCAGAAAGTACCTGGCCTGTAAGGAAAGGAATAAATACAACACAAATAAAAAAATCTGTACTTAAAGGTCTCCCACTTCAGCAGTTCCTTTTTAACTCAACTAGAGACAAAACGGTTTTTTATATATAAACTGTAGATTCTAGAAGTAATGCTACAATATGAAATCAACTACAATTTTCAGTTTAACTCAAATTATAATTAAAAACTGTATAACTTATAAATATATATAAATTTTGATATAGAAAAGGAACTGCACTAAGAAAGGACTCCCAAAACAAAACTAAACTATATCTTGATTTTATATACCTTGAGGGGACATAAGCAAGTTAACATATTCCAGAACGTCCAAAAACAGCTCGTTTCGGCGATACTTGATGCCTTCCCTACGCCAGCCTATTTGCCCAGTAACTTGTGAGGTGATTTGTGCTTGCTCTTCTTTGGTAGCTGATTTGATGCCCTGCTGAGTTATGAACGTTTTCAAAACGCCAGTATCAGAGTTTTGAGGATATCCAAAATCCAAAATTTCTGAAAATGTGAGCAAATATTTTAGTAATAAGCATAAAAAATCATTTAGTTAATTTCTAATTTACAATTTACACTTTTTTCTTTTTAATTTTCACTAGTGCTATTAATCATTTCAATAAACAATTATCATTTTTTTAAATAATATTAATTTTTCCTATTTATAAGCAATCTTCACCTACATAAAGTTCTTTAAGGTATGACATAATTCAATGTGAAATAAAACTAACATTTACTTTTATTACCCTTGTAATTATCATCTGAATAATGATTTCAGAATGTTATATTTTAAAAATAAGTCTCTATTCTGACTACGTAGGGTATTCTCTAATTGTAAAACATTATTCTGCATTTTCTTCTACATTTTTATCCTTTTCAATTAATTTGATTAAGACAAAAATTAAGTAAATGCAATTACTTTTCTTAAATGTGCAAATAAAGTATTAAACTAGAAAACACAAGATAAAATTAAATTATCTGTTTCAATTAACAACAATACACTGCTTACCATCTAAAAGTTCATATATGAGAACAAAGTTGTTCTTGATGTTTTCTTCTGATATCTTTCCAAAGTAAGACTGCATAACTTCAATTATTTTCAGTAAAAATTCAAATACCATTGCAGCATTAACATTTTGTTTGGTTACAGCAGCAATCCAGATGTTAGCTCTCTAGAATAAAAATAAATAAAATTGTAATTTGATTTTGCAAAATACTAGCTCAAACAGCAACTTACTTTTATATGAAAAAATGATGTTCTTGCAATGTTTGTAACAGGCGATCGAACCTGTTGCCTGGCATGGATAACATTCACTCTAAATGCATCTACAGCATTTCTGCCTATATCATCTCGATAAACTCGAGAAATAAGAACTTCTCCTTTATGATTATACACAAAAAGTCCACCGATCATGGCTGCGACTTATATGCTAACAAGACAGTTACACCTAAAAGTTGAAAACTTTATTTTATATTAAACCTATTATTAAAATAGTATATTACTATTATGGAAATGTACTTACACTGAAGAAAGAAATTAATATTACACCAATTTTTTACGCCCACTCATTTTCGTAACCTTTTTTTCAACTTTTAACGTTTGATTACTGACAATGATTAACCTGATTAATAACCGATTGTCTTATCTTTGACCCATAGGCACCCATAACTGACTATTGACCGTTGCTGAACTACCATCTATTATCTATGACTACCATAAATATTCTATCAGTCGTATGAACTAACACCCGATATAAATAATCCACTGATTCGAACTTTATCTAACAATAATGACACATACATATTTAGGACCCGCAAACGACGCGTAATTTACCAGTAAAGTTTAAATCAAGAAAGATTTATATCGGGTGCCAGCTTCACAAAACTATAAATGCATTATCTATGATAAATACCAAGTACCAAACTGTCATATCTATGAATATTCTAAAGCCATAGATGTAAATTTATCATCATAAGGTAGGTCCATAGATAATAGATATACAAAGGGTAGGTCGTCAGTCCTGAGACTGGTTGGACACGTACTCTTTCTTATCCTGAGTTAAACTTCGCATTTCCCCAAAACTAGAACAACCCATATCCTTAACTATTTACGAACTGTAATCTAATCTAAGTCTACATCTACCCCTTCTAACTCCTGTTTCTGCTTATATGTTTCTAATTAGCCCTTCATGCCTGAGAAGGTGTCCTACCAACCTATCTCGCCTATTTTTTATTAACTTCCATTCGGCTGTAAGACTACATTTCGAACGTTTCTAAACTTTAATTTTCATCTTCTAAATTAAGTAAAAGTGTCTTTTTCCCACTGGAAACGAAAGCAGTGTGTTGTTGCTAAAGGAAGGATTTATGACAATTAATTGGTAAGTAGCAACATCAATTAAATTTTAAGGACATCTCAACTTTTTACACAAAATAACAAAACGTTTACCCAAAACATGAAATATATACTACAAAATTAAACAAAAGAATTAATTATACACCAACCAAAATTAAACAAATTAATTACCTATATTAACCTTGCTAACTACAGCTTTAGGTCACTAACAATAAGTCGAGCATTTGTAAATAGTAAACAGGTAAACAAATGGCAATAATTTTTTCTTAATAGGTTCTTATGATTCAAGATTGACCAAATTGTATGATTCTGCCTTTAGAAGTTTTAATTGCCTCTTTATAAATTAAATTTTATCTCCTTTGATGTGAATTAATTAAATACTAAAAACAGGTTTTTAATCAAACGTTTTCTTAAATAAATATTCCTAAGAAGATAGAAGTTGCTATAGGTTTGTCAAATATTATTTTCACGTATAAGTTTTTAAATTCCATTTCACCCCTCTTAAGGATTTACTTTTGAAAATTAGTTCCTTACATCCTGCTGAATTTTATGTTGCATCACAACCAGTTTAAATCTACTTAATATGGTTTATGTCTTTGTACCAGTCCTTTTTATGTAAAAATTATGGATTGAATTCATTTGTATGTTGTTTATATTTTGTTAATATTTACAGAATCATAACCCGATTTTGAGTTTTGACAAATTGTTATTTTGCTTCTTCAATGATTAAAATGAACGTGAAGTAAAAATTAAACTAAAAAAACTTGGTTATTGCTTTTAAATTTCTTATATATGTATGTATGTTCTTTTTTGTATAAAAGAGTAAGTTTCATTCTGTGGTCAGATTAGTTTTGGATGTTTTCCAATTTTGTCTTGTGAACAAATACAAACTTTTTCAAACTACATTTAATACTGCTTAATTATTTAGAAATNCTTCTAATTTTTCGTCTCATATCTTTATATTCGCTCTTTCCCTACTTTTTCTTCCCTTGCATACCAGTATTTTAGTTTTTCTTTTATTTATTTTTATACGGTAGGTACTATTTTGTCAGTACCGCTTCCATTTTATTTAGAGCGATCTCTAAGTCCTCCTTGCTCGATGCTAATACTGCTATATTATCTGCAAATCTTAGCATACTAATCTTTTGCCTCTGCCATATCTATCCCTACAGTTGTACTGCCTTTTTGATTGATTATTAAGTGATCTTCTCCTAATAGTTCTTCCGCCCTTTTTTCCATCCTAATCTGTACAATTCTAGTTAAGATTTGTGATGCATGGGAAGTTAAGCTAATTGTTCTAAATATCTCGCACCTATCCGCACCTCTCTTTTTAGGTATGGTTACTACCACGTTCCGTTTATAATTCTCTGGAACATTGCCTGTCTCGTAAATGTGACCAACTAGCTTAAACATACGATCAGTAACCTCTTGTCCTGCATTTTTTAGAATTTCTCCCTGTATCCCATCTACCCCTGGCGCCTTATTCTCTCATTGTGGGATAACCTAGTGTTTCGTCTGTCCTTCTACCTAGTCTATCACGCGTTTCGTTACATTTTAGCTTTTCTAAGTCAAGACGTCTCCTAACTTCCCTCTTTTTCAGAATTTTGAATTGGTCTTCATAACTACTACATTATGATCGCTATCTGGATAACTCATCTATATCTGCTCCTGGATAACTCCTACAGTGTTTCACTTGATTTTTAAATCTTTTTCCTAACAAGTATGTAATCCAACTAATATCTTCCTAAATCACCTGGCATCTTCCACGTATAGCACCTCCTAAAGTGATGGTTGAATAAAGTATTCGTGACGATTAAGTTATGTTTATCGCAAAATTCTATCAATCTATTTCCTCCACAATTTCTATTGCCTAATCCAAAAGAACCTGCTATTGCACCGTTTTTACCTTCGCCTACTACTGCGTTGAAGTCTTCTACACTATTAGGTTTACCTGCCTTTTCACTAAACTTAACATGTCTTCTATGTCTGTATAAACTGTTTCTATGTTTTCAACATTGTAAGATAATGTAAGCATGTAGACCTGCACTAATACTGTTTATAGCTTCGAATTTAATTTAACCATAACTATCTTATCGCTTTTTTGTAAATAATTTTCTACATTCTGCCCTGCTTTCTTACCCCCGAATTACCTTCCGCCGATCCTGTATGTGTTATTCAAAAGTCTCCACTCCAGCAATCTCCAGCTTCGGGCCAATGGACTTCACTAATGCTTGCTATATTTAATTCTAATATATTCATCTCAACTTTCAAATTTTCCAATTTCCCTACTTGCCTCATTATCCTAACATTCCACGCTTCGACTCGTGAAATATTGCATCTTCCCCTATTGCACTTATTGATGATATCCCCGAAGTGGTCCCCGCCCCAGAGGACACCATTATTTAATTTGTGTAGTACGTTTTACTCGGAATCATAATGTGGTATTGTGCATCAGAGTGCCATACTGATCCTCGTGATTTCTGCCATCCTGAGTACTGAAAGAGCTGCTGCGTTTTTTCAGGGACTTGTATTAATCTGATTTCTCTTTAAGAACCCCTCATTATGATTGAACCTACGGTTAAGGTTCAAGTCTCGTCGGATCGGTAAAAAATAATTTATCATCATCATCATAAGGTCAGTCCTAAGAGTGATTGGACACGCACCTCCATTCTTTCCTATCCTGAGCTAATCTTCACATTTCCCTAAAACTAGAACAACCCACATCCTCTTTGACATTTACTATGCTGTGTTAATTTTCCATTTAACGGCTCATAATTGAGCTAAGAGGAGTAGAGGTAAACCTGGATTAGATTACTGTTCATAAATAGTTAAGGATATGGGATGTTCCAATTTCAGGGAAATGCTTGGGATAGGAAAAAGTGGAGATGCATGTCCAACCAGGTTTAGTACTGAAAAACTTATTATGAAGATGACAATGAAAATGTATCAATAGAGATAAAAAAAATAAAAATAATATAAAAACTGAAAGCAATTATCTCTTTGTATGTGTAGCACAGGCTATCTTATTTTTCATAACGTATACTTTTGTCAAGTTGCATATATGCAACATGTACTTACGTTAAGACTGCTTAATTAACATTGGAGTGATGATATGATAAATATTAATTTCATGTTATGGTAATTTTCACATTATAACGGATGTTGCTGCAAATAATGTCTAATTATTAGTGGAAATGGAAAGAGCATTCCACTACTAGCTAATGTTTGTATGTAAACAGAATGTCCGAGCTCGTGAAATCAGTTGAATTGAAAAGCTAGACAGGTAGTTGCTTATTTCTAATAGACAACATTTTATCTGTACCGTTTCGTTGTTGTTTGGTGCCGCGATTGTGATAATTGTTTTGTGGAATTAATTGAAAATAAATTGAACCGCTTTGGTAAGTACCTACAAGGAAATAATTAGTCGAACGCCGATTATCTTTATACTAGTTTTAACTGACTACTTGAATTTATTTTAAAAGCTTTAAAATCATTAAAGAATGTACATATTAATCCTTCTAATTTTCTAATAATCAAAAGGGCATTTATGGCAACTTTAATTTAGTTGAGTACAGTCACACAACAATTTATTTGAAAAGGCTCAAACTTAAGAAACAGAAATAATTTTTTTTCGTCAATTTTTTAATTTAATTGAGTTATGTTGTATCAAATAAATCACTTAAAATTAATAAATATTGGTCTTAATGTGACACCAAAACAAAATTCTGTTGTTGGATGTAATAAACGCTTTTTTTGTTTTAATACCATTTTTTGTCAAAATGTTTAAACAATTAATAACTTATTAAAGTTAAAAGTTGCAACTGAGGCAATTGTATATTAGGGAAAGGCAGTTAAAAGACAATCTTTTAACCTATTACACCGTAATTAAAAAGTAGAATAAGGATTTAATATCGCCATATTAAAAAATGAAATTACAAATTGATAAATAATTAATATAGTAGAGCAAATGCAATGAAATTTGATTATTGTAAAGTTTAATGATTATTATTAGTTACCAATCTTTTTGTACTTAATCGGTCAAGTGCTAGTCGCTCACCGAGGGTTCCGAAAAATCTTGTGGGTATGCAAATAGTTTGTCTGTCACGGAAATTGAGTCTTGAAAATTTTCTCGCTGTTTCCGAGTATGTTTTAAATCAGTCTCCGAAACGTATAATTACAATTAAATGAATAGGTTTTGATTCCCCTGCAAAGTTTTCGACAATAAAGCTCAAATAGTCGTATCTTTGGATTGCGTTGACTTAGAAGCTTGATTGTTTTACAGCTTCAAAGGACCGTAGACATAAGTATTTTATGTTCATTTCAACTAAATATCTC